GCCCTGCCATGTGTCGAGGTGACATCCGTCGAAGTGTTTCACGCAGCTCAGACACATGGTCAAATCTGCGTCGCCCAAGGATCAGTCAGACAGCAAAATTTAGGATCTTTTAGATTTGTCAAAGTTTTTTTATCCATGCCATTGCCATAACCATTGAGACAGTATCTGACCTGCGTGATCACCAACGCCGTCGCAAGAGTTTTGATGACCTTGTCTGGAAGGCAGTGTCGCGCATGGGACGGGCCCACCAGCAAGCCAGTTCGCCGGCGGCTGAGCTCGGACACATGTGGATCCCAGGACAAGGCGCTTTCGAAGACAATACCCAGATTCCTCACCTTCGTACGCGGTCGCAGCGCAGCGTCACGAAAACGTATGGTGAAGTCCAGAAGAGCGCGAAAATTTTGACAACTGCCGAAAGTGATAAGTTGCGTTTTGGTTGCGTTCACCATAAGGGCAATACGAACGGAACGAGCGTCTGAGTGACGCAAGCGGGGCCTCTATGCAAGTAATACGCCCCTTAAGGTCGTTCTTCAGGCCGCCCACCAAAACTTGGGTGTCATTTACACATTGAAAAACTTGTGCTTTTTGTACAAAGACAGATCGTTCGATAAAACTGTGAAAAGAAGTGAGCCCAACGCTGAACCTTGGAAGACACTCATGCTGTAGGCAAGCGGCCGCGACAGCACCCTGCGTCAACACCCATCATTCAGGCACACTTTCTGGCTGCGCCTCTGAATATAGGTGGGAACCATGAGGTCTCAATACCGTGCATCCGCAGCTCCTGAATCAAAATTGGAGGATCATTGACGTTAAAACATTTACTTACATCATTAACGCACAGTAGAGAAATCTGTCCTGTCGGTGGTTGTGGTCGGAGACCGACACTAAGCGCGGTTTCCGTCGAGCGACGAGGACAGAAACCGTGCTGGGAGCATGCAAGGAGATGGTTGTAGAATGGGTAGCGGTAAAGGTGCCGTTGGACGACTCGCTCGACCGCTTTGGCGGTGACAGGAGCGAGAGATATCGGATGGAAATTGGATGGGTCAGATGGGTTACCAGCTTTGAAAATGACATGGACCAGGGGAATGTTTGCAAACGCCGGGGACATGTACACTGGTCAATTTTGCGGGCTATATTGACGAAGTTAGCGCTGCATTTACGCTCGATGGCACAGTCACGCTTTTGAACGATGCCCATATCTAAAAGAGAACCAGTGAGGAAAGTCGGTATGGTCAAAAGCTGGTCAAGACGGTGATCTGTCAAAAATAAATAAATAAATAAATAAAACGCTGACGCGCTGGCTCACCGTGTTCATTCCGCAAATCACAGCTGAAATCACCACAGATGACGACATCCGACCCTCCCATCCTCTTTTCTTGCTTTATCCTGAATCCTCACAACGCCCCGCTCATCCGAGGAAGGTTGTATGCGTCAGTCACGAATGGGGCGAAAGGCCAGCTGGAGGGGGACCCCGACCGCGCGCCCAGCGCACACTCCGAGGGGTCGCTGCGCGGCTAAAATTCGGCAGTTGGCTCCCAGGCATATAAAGTCCTGCCCCACCGTTATCCATTCTCCTCCATGCTTTAGTCCTGAAATGATCATTTCTGGTCGAAAGGGCTATAATCCAAACAACCAAACCAAACAGAGGACGAGCGGGACTCCCGGGTAGCCAATCGGCACGCGTCGCATTTGGGTCTCTAGGCCCGTGTAGTCGTTCCTGAGGATAGCTACTCTGTGCCGGGGTGGACAGTAGCTGGCGGAGCGCGGCCCGGCGGCATGGTCGAGCCTCGGCGTCGGACTGCGTGAGGGGTGCAGACAAGCACCAGTACACGGACGACGGCCAGCAAAGTCAGGAAACGGGCCAAGTCTTGGTGCATGCTGGGTGTGAGTGGACACATCATGCGCTCACGTTGCAATGGAAGCCCAGATCCGTGACGAGCGTCGCGTCCTGGACGTCACGATCTTGTCGAGAAGCATGCTGGTACGCGGAGACAATCGGGTACATACCCAAGCACCTTTGCTCATTCATACACGCACACACACACACTAGCACCGAGGTAGAGGCGTGCGGGGTAACCAGGGAGGAGCGGGCATCGCTCCCGACTTGGCGGCGCGCTTAGCTCAGCTGGTCTGCTGAGTGCTGTGACTTGTCATGTTCTGGTGAGCGCCAGGCCTGTGGGTCCGGTGAGAGAAGCGCTTTCTGTTCCACTCGACCGGCAGTGAGCCGCAGGGCGGGTTTGACCGACGATTTCCAGCGACAGCAGAGCCCGCCAGTCAGCCCTGACGTCCTCCGTTCGCTTTGTTATGCCCCATATGCCTGTTAACCTGCTGTTATCGCACGCCATTGTAGCGGCCACGCCCTCGCCCTCCCCCAGACACGGTGCCGACACGGACTGCTGGGCTGAGGGGCCCGAGGGCTGCTACCAAACGCTGCTGCACCGCGCTATCGACGAGAACAACGAGGAGATCGCCTCCTTCCTCATACGCAGGTGGGGCTGGTATACGCCGGCCATTGGCTTTGTTCTCATGTGAAGTCTGTTCTGATTGTACTGTGCTTTCCGTGATTTTGTGACGTCCTCCGTATTTACGATACCCACCACACCAGGGCCAAGCCGCTTGAAAGTGTACGTGCACGCGGTCGTGCGCGTGTGCGCGTGTGCGCGTGCGCGCGTGCGTGCGTGCATGTGATACGCTTAGCTTCTTGGCTCGACAAATGATTTAACGATTACAGTACTGTGCAGGCTGTGCCCGAGCACCGTTCACGACGAGAGCGGACCCCGTGACCGATCACGTGACATGACCCAGCGCGTGCCCTCCGCCAGCGGCTGTGACGTGAGCAGCGCGCGCCGGCCGGGCCCGGACGGCCGGGGTGGGGACGAGGCGCGCGACCTGCTGACGCCGCTCCACCTGTGCGCCCAGTGGGGCCTGCAGCAGACCGTCCAGACACTGCTGGAGCACGGAGCCGCCGCCAACGCCCGGGTGAGAGCGTCGGACAAGATGATTGGCGTGAACAAGTGTCGAATGTAATCCAGCTACCTTTGGCGATCCCCAGATGCCATTCCGTCGTCTTGTCGTTGTCTGCCGTGCTGCTCACCGTGATATGTGCAGGCCAGCTGCACGACACCCGTCAGGCCGGTCGCGCATCACGGCTGGCGGCCGTCGCTCATGCCGGCAGGACTGTGACCAGAAGACGCCGCTGCACGTGGCGATCGAGAACGGCCACGCGGCCATCATCGGGCTGCTGCTGTCGGCGCCGGGCACCGACCTGACGGCGCGCGACAAACTGGGCCGCGCCCCCTTCACACTGGCCATGGGCATGAAGAACAACAAGGCGGCGCAGGCCATCCTCGACCGGGAGCCGGGAGTGGCCGAGCAGGTCAGCGAGAGAGAGAGAGCGAGAGCGAGAGCGAGAGCGAGAGCGAGAGCGAGAGCGAGAGCGAGAGCGAGAGCGAGAGCGAGAGCGAGAGCGAGAGCGAGAGCGAGAGCGAGAGCGAGAGCGAGAGCGAGAGCGAGAGCGAGAGCGAGAGCGAGAGAGAGAGAGAGAGAGAGAGAGAGAGAGAGAGAGAGAGAGAGAGAGAGAGAGAGAGAGAGAGAGAGAGAGAGAGAGAGAGAGAGAGAGAGAGAGAGAAGAACAGAGAGGGAGAGGGAGAGCGCCGTGTGGTTTCATTTAGCAGCGCCTACACGCGCCCTGTATTATCGGTGGCCTGTAGAGCGCGGTATGTTACATTGCTGTCGGGACGTCTGTTGTAGTTATACTGTTTATGAAGTTTTCAGTCGTGCCGTCGTTCGACGGTTCATGCCCATATTGTCTGACGTTTGTATGTGGGGTACATATTCCGCTTGTACTTGGCTGGATTATATTGGTGGCGCGTCGTGATGCACTTGATGTTGAAAATACAACCTGAACCAGATGCCACGCCCTCCATGGCCTGCATTACAAGTGCCGGACACAGTTCCACTTGTCGGCGGCGTTGACGCGCTCGTCGCGGCTGGTTCGCAGTATGACAACCGCGGTCGCAACTTCCTGCACGCGGCCATTGAGAAGAAGGACATCGAGGCGGTGATGTTCCTGCTGTCGATCCACGTGAACGTGCACTCGCGCACACGCGACTCGCTGCACCTGACGCCGCTGCACCTGGCCGCCCAGGCCGACTCCGAGATCATTCTGAGGTGGGCGGCGGCGGCGCACCGGGCTCGAGAGCTGGGGTCAGGCTACAGCTCGGTGGAGTGTGTTCGTCGTGGGCGTATCGACGATGATGATGATTTGGGGTTTTAGGGCGTATCGACTGCTGAAGGTCATGCAGCGCCCATTAGCGCCCGTCGTGGGCGTATCCTTGGAATATGTGACTGGTGATACTTTGGTATATATATATATATATATATATATATATATATATATATATATATATATAAAGTCGCGATGGCTTTTACTTAGAGATAGGTCGAACAACTGAGGGATTGTCTGGCTCTGTGTCTCAGCTGCCGCCAGTGGGCCCCTCACCCTCACCAGCGGGCCGCCGAGGCCGCCGGAGTGCACCTGTCGCTTCCGTGACCGCCGCCGCCCGGACAGGAACCTGATGCTGGCCGGTGCGCGGGTGGACGAGTGCACGCCGCTGAAGCAGACGGCGCTGCACCTGGCGGCAGAGCGAGACTGCCACCAGTGCGTGTCCGTCCTGCTCGACAAGGGCGTCGACTTCAACGCTGTCGACAACAACGTCGACAACGCCTTGCACGTGGCCTGCAAGGTGGGATCGGCGGCAGCGGTAGATGAGGAGGGGAAGGGGGGGGGGGGGGGGGGAACGGCACGCGTCAGCCAGGTGGTGGCCTTGTCAGCGGGATAGCCTGTCAGTGCAGGTGTCGCTGAACGGAGTTTTAGGGCATTCGCCCACTGCAAGTAAGAACCATGTCGTGAAAAACGGACACAGCTGTGTTTTGGACGAAAATGCGTCGTTGAGAGCGAGCGGAGTTTGTGAGCTCCGGAGCGTGTAGCCAGCAGCTGGATCTGCATGGCGAGTTTGCTGTCAGCGTGAGCTGTGGGATTTTTTTGACGCTGGAGCTCATGCTCATGAGAGTATTGTCCACCGACGGACGCTGCGTAATTTCCATCCCAGTCTGTTGAGTTCTGATTCAGCCCACATCCGTTATCAGTTCTGGAGATGTCGACTCACGCTGATCCAAGACACTGGCGTGGTTTTGACATTCCTCTGGGCCCAGTCGTTATAATAGTCCTGAGTTGGCCGGCCCCGGCACCGCACTCCGCCCAGCATAGCTCTTATGGCCGCCAGTTTCCCTGCCGTTACACTGTCTACGGCTGCGCCCGCAGGAGGGTCACCTGGCCACGGTGCGCGTGCTGCTGACTGAGTCCCAGATCGACGCCGAGTCGACCAACCTGCGTGGCCGCAACCCGCTGCACGTGGTGGCGGCACTGGGCCGCGACAACGCTGCTGCCATCTGTCAGCTATTTCTGGAGTCGATGCCTCGCTATCCGCTCAACAGGCAGGAGGCGGACGGCAACACAGGTGAGGGGCTTGCCGAGCGGCGCGGGCTCCGGCGCTGTCACGGGTGTGCGGGGCGGTTCTTGCGAGACACGTTTTGCTGCGGGTGCCTACAAGTTCACTGCTTTGAGGAGTGAATTCAGTTGGTCTGCTGAACACCATAGTGATGCCTACGTGAGCTGAATACCATAGTGATACCTATGGGAGCAGAATACCATAGTGATACCTACGGGAGCTGAATACCATAGTGATATCTATGGCAGCTGAATACCGTAGTGATACCCATGGCAGCTGAATACCATAGTGATACTTATGGCAGATACTGATCTCTGGCAATGTTTCAGTTCACAGCGTTACGGCCGAAGTCAAAACATGGAACCGATCAGTTGTCATTTGTATGAAATATTGGGGATTCAAAAATTGCGTTTTGGAAGCTAGTTTCCAGCTCGTTTGAGGAAAACTAAGCTGAATCCGACGTAACGCCTCGTGTTATGTGACGGGGTCCTCCCGCCCTCCAGCGCTGCTGCTGGCCTACATGAAGGGCAACGTCAACCTGTGCATGACGCTGGTGAAGGCGGGTGCCTCGCTCGGCATCATGAACAACCAGGGCGTCTCCATCTTCAACTTCCAGGTGGCCACTAAGCAGCTGCTCTTCAGGTGAGGCTCCCCGGCGCCGATGAGCGGCGCAAAGTCGACGGAGGCTCGGAAGTGCGTCTGCGGATAGAGAGTGTTCTCCACTTCGGTCTTGCGCCTAGTAATGTCTACCCTGGCGCGGGCAGCGCTCCGACGTCAAGCCTTCTCCAGTCGGGCGTTGGAAAGGCCCGTCAGTGCGCTCTTGGTCGGCCGATGATTGCTTCTTCGCAATGTCGTAAAGCCGGAAACGTGACCCGGTGAAGCATAACCGGCTGTAACACGAGGTCACTTGACTGGTAGGGCTTCGTGATCTCAGACTGTGTTCTCGGCCATTGACATGGCGTGCAGGTATCAAGTGATTCAGACATGCTGTCGCTGATATAAGCACGTCGTGCGCGTCTGCAAACGATGGCTTGGACGTCACTCACTGAATGCATTGTAATCCAAAGTAGCGGACTGCTCGTGACGCCTCACAGCAAGCCCAGGTAAGCATGTGACGATACATCACGAACGCTCGGAATCCAGTGCGCCGGACCCGCCGATGAGCGGCCGCTGAGCCGGATCCGCTGCTGAGCGGGACCCACCGCTGAGCCGGACCCGCTGCTGAGCCGAGCCCGCCGCTGAGCGGCCGCTGGGCTGGACCCGCTTCTGAGCGGCCGCTGAGCCTCACCCGCTGCTGAGCAGGGCCCACCGCTGAGCAGCCGCTGAGCCCGTCCGCTCTGCCACAGGCTGCTGGACGCGCTATCCCAAGAGCCGGGCTGGTGCGACGGCGACTACTGCATGGAGTGCAGCACCAAGTTCGGCATCGCCACCAGGAAACACCACTGGTTAGTGACGTGCTCAGGGCGACCACGGTCGGCGTTTGCGCCAGCCGAGCGGTGCTTGTTCGCGGTGCGCTTCTTTCCGCTCACATTTGACGGCGCATGAAATGAAGAATTGAGCTGACGGGCAAGGGTTGTAGCGGCACCTGTAGACAGACCAACCGCTACTCGAGATTTGTCATGCTGGTGAAAGAAACTTGTTTTGGCTGTCGCCGGCTGTGCGCGGTGTCATCCAGTGTTTCCTGCTATGGTTACCTTACTCTTCGGGTGACCGTGCGACATGGCCTGCCCAGTCTCGAACCCACCCTTCACGGGTCCCCTCCCCGCTCCTCACTGCCATGTGACCGTCGCGTATCCTCCCCCCCCCCCCCCCCCTCCCATCTTTAGCGCGGTGTATCCGTCGGTGGCTTCTTGTGGTCGGTGCCCTGACTGCCGCGCCTATCTTCTCCTCGGCAGCCGCCACTGCGGCCGCTTACTCTGCAATCGCTGTTCGGACCGGCAACTGCCCATCGTCAAATATAACATAAACAAGCCGATCCGGGTGTGCGACACCTGCTCCGACGTGCTCACGCTGGGCGCCGCCATGTTCAGCTAGGCTAGATGGGGGGTGTAGCGTGCTGTGTGGCTGGGTCGCCTGAAACAGTACGGGGATAGCGGAGAGGAGGAGGAAACAGATAGGCTTGTGTTGGGCGCCATGCGTGCTGATTAGCGAGCCGACGTGTTTGTTGAGAACAGCATCTTAGTCTTCAGGAGTCTTGGAATGCCGTTAGCGTGGTGGCGCCGCCGTCTTTTCGTAGGGAGCGCGTGGCCGATCGACGAGGCGTAGCTGTCACCAGATGGGTTGTATCTGGCATCCCTGAAATGACCTAACTGTGGTTCCTTCGCCTGTGGCTCCGTCTGATCGGCTAATGGTGCACTCGCCTTCCAATGTTATGGGGCCCTCGTTTCTGGATTCACTGGAGGAGTTAGCTCGCCGGCGGATGTGCAGGAGTGGACGTGGCTAACGTGTGCTGACTAGCTTGGCGTGGCCATCGGCAGATGTGCAGGAGTGGACGTGACTAACGTGTGCTGACTAGGTTGGCGTGGCCACCGGCAGATGTGCAGGAGTGGACGTGACTAACGTGTGCTGACTAGCTCGGTGTGGCCACCGGCCGACGTGATCGCGGAATGGCATCGGTTTCGCGCCCTGTTGTTACTTGGCTAGGTCTAATGTTGGCGCCTGGCGTGTCGTTCGTGCCATGCGATGTGCTCGGGGTCGGTGGGATGGCGAGGCGGCTCTGGACGTGGCCGTGGAGCTTAGGCTCGTACTGCGGGCTTCACACCCGCCGCCGACCTCCGCCGCCTGGTGGGGCGGCGGCGTGACGAACGTCGGCCGTACGGGCGCGCTGCTGATGCTGCTTCTGAGATGCTGGTGACGTGGGGGCTGCGCCGAACCGCTCCAGTTGGAGCACGCTATCCACAAACTGTGATGTCAAAAGGCGAGATTGTCGAAACGTGAGATTGCTTGTTTCATTGCCCACTGCGGAGTTGACAGTATTTTGCAGTGTAGAAGTATGGCGATTGTGAAGTTTCTTTGGTTTTATCTGAAGTCTGCTGAGCTTTAGTATTGGTTGCCGTACGTTAAGACATTCCTACCAGGCCGTGCACCAGCTGGTTTGTTGTGGATATTCACGTGGTGGGCATGTGATGTATTGTGTGTGTTGACATGCCCTCCTGCCATGTGAAATAGGAATGCACCTCCCAGTGATATGGGTCCGGTATAACGATTAATGCCATTTAATCTGGCTGGAGCCGTTAGTTACTAGAATATGTTTTCAGGTCGGGAGAGGGCGCTCATTATGTATCGAAACTTGACTCTGACGTTTAACACCGCTTGTCCCTAGATGTCATCAAAACACGCAAAGCGAATGAGATAATGCCCATGCGCTAACACCACCGATTTACCATTTGAACTGGCCCACGCCTTGTGTCAGACGCCGTTGGGAAGCCGTTGTCTGAATGTCAGGGGAAGCCAAGGGCGGGGCGCCGTGCGCCTTCTGCATAATCACTGGTCAGCCGCTGTCGGCCTGTGTCCGTCGCCGCGAACCTGGATTAGTTTGGCTCAGGTCGTCAGGGGCGCTGCCATCCACTACTGATAAAGCTTCCCCTGACCGACAAGAGGCCATAGTTTAGAACTGTATTCTTTATATATTAAATATATACTGCATTAAAACATGACGTGTGTTTCCGGGGTCTTGGAACAAGGACCTGTCTCTGATACGGTAAGCTAAGACCCGTTGAATGGCATGATGTGTAGTTCGCGTAGGTGAAAAATATGGCGGCGCAGGTGCCAATGATCATGAGCATTTATGGTACTTGATGGCAGTTCGGACAAAGTGCGAGACGCATGCGTTATCCCGACGGAATATCCGTAGATCACCCTATTGCATCGTCGACAGTGCGGCCATGAAACGCAATGACTGCCGAAAAATTGATTGGAGGCGCCCTTGGACCCAGAAAAAATATGCCGCATGATTCTGAATGGCGCACAGCTATACAAATACTATTATTTGTTTTATCTGGACTGTGCGGTTGGCTGTCTTTCAAAACCTTCGTATGTAGTTCAAAGCCAGTCGTAGATGACAGCTTGTGGCCAGTGCGTGTCGGCTTTTCTCTGAATGTTCGCGGTCGAATCAACGCGATTCACTCAAGTCACGAAGAACCTTTCGCGAAGTACGCGAAGACGACATTTAACATGTGTATTTTTCCTAGGTGGCAACGTAACTCGATTTCTACATTATTTACAATCATAAACCCATTTGCAGGAGGAAGCACGCGTCCTGCTACATGTATGTACAAATATTCAACTGAAATATGCCGATACACACCAGTTCACGGACGCCAACTTCTAGTGAAGGCGGCACCGCGGCACAAACCAAAGCTGCCGCGAGGTCAAAGCATGCGTTCAGATCCAGCCCCGTCTGTCGCACGCGCATACAACCGAAAACTGGCTGGCGGGGCGCCGGGCATCGCGGCGAAGACGTACACCGAAGAGGGGTGCCACCCAGCACCTCTTGTCTTCGTTCTGATCTCGCAGGCGGTGAGACGGGGGATGGAAGCTGGTGGCGGCTGAAGGGCTCGCGCGACCGAGCGGTCGGATAGCTCCCGGGGAGAGTGTGGCGACGCGGCCCGGTGTCGAACGGAGAACCAAGTAGAAAGCGATGCGGTGGGCCGCGCCAGCGCCGGGCGTTTAGTGGAAGCGAGGGGTGAAAGGGAGGGCGCGAGGCTCCGACACAGACGCACACAGCTCACAGTTACACGTACAAACTCACAGTCTATATAGAGGGGCGGGCTTTGGGGCGGGATTGGGGCGAGGGGTGGGGTCTCACTGGCACTAGACGGGTGGGCGAGCTACACACGCGGCGGGGATACTGGGACGTCCGCTGACGGCTCTCTGAACATGCTTGGCCCACGCTCTGTCCACGGTTTGATTGCTTTCCGGCAGCGGAAAATGTGGGGTGTGAAACACAGCTCTATAGCAGACAGAGCGTCGCAGGCCACGGCGCGCGGCGCAGGCGCCCCCCTGCGAGAAATTCGGGCGGGCGACAAGGGTGCCGTCGGCACCGGGGACAGAACGGAGCGGCGCGCCGCGCTGCGCCAGAAAAGCAGACAGACACCGAGAACGAGAAGAGAGCGGGTCGGTCACAGTGAGAGCGCGCAGTCAGGAGGCCGCCCGGCCGTCACGGACAGGCGGCCCGCCGCCAGCCCCGCTCCTGCACGGCACGGGACTGCACTGGGAGGCGCGTCGTCCGGCGGTCGGCCGGCCTGCTCGGCGGAGCAGAGGTCGATCAGAGGGCTCACGCGACAGCCGACGCCGCCGGCCCGGATAATTGTGTGACATATTCGCGGGATTTCCGGCCTGGTGACCCGGGCCGTGTCGGCGGCCGCGGCGGCATTGATCTCCTCTGTCTAACTGCCCCGCCAGCCGGACGTCAGCACATGGCGCCCGTCGGGGATCAAGGGGCTTCGGTGGACCCTGTAAATCGCAGGCCCGAGCCTCCGGCGCGCACCGAAACGACGCGTGCCCGGTCAGAGACTCGTGTCGTCTGTCTATTTACGGCTGTGTCTGCTGGGTCGTCGAGGGGCGCGGCTTGTGCGCGTTAGCCTCGTGGAAGCGGGTCACCAGGGCGGCTGAGCTCTGATGTCACGCGGGCGAGGCCTTCACTGGCATGTGCGTGACCTCTGACCGACCCCTGACCCCAAACTGCACGCTTGCCGGCCAAACGCAGTGACGACGCCAGGGGTCTTCGACCCGTCGCGGCCTCCGACCTCCAGGTAACACACTGCGGCTGGCACGGCGGCTGCCGGCCAGCGGCGGGTTGGCTCCCCCTGACCTCCTGACCCAGGGGTGACCGCTAGAGGCGGCGCCGTGTTAGCAGTTGCAGGGCGCACTGCTCGGGGGCTGCTGGTCGGTGAGCCGAGTGCCTTTGCTGGCGCTCATCATGTTCGGGTCAGAATCTAAGCTCTCGGACATCTTGTCGCAGATGATGTCCACTAGACGCTCGAAGACAGCCTGAAAACGAGACGCAGGTCTTAGCGCTAGAACAGCTTTTCACGCTATGACAGAGCTTAGCGCTATAACATTTCTTAACGCTATAACCGCTGTTTTTCTCACCGTGAATTTTTTTATTTGCGTCTTTACATCACAATTTTGTGAGGGTCAAGAGAAGACATCTTGACGGGGGAGCTTGGACTGGGAGGTTGAGAGCACGACGTACATTTTCGGGTGTCCGCCGCTTCCCCGCTACTACTGGCTTGATGAATTTCAGGGGGAGGGGTCTTAAACGCAAACGGCATGATAACCAAAAGATCTCCAATCATTCCGTGGCATATATGTACTTTATCTTTATTACGTGTTTGCTCAATTAACGGCTAGTACTTGTTTGAAGCTGAAACATTGGAATAAGGCTATTTTGCACGTTTTGAGTTGCTCTTTTAACGTTGATCTGCCACTGCAGGATGAATGTGCGATAGCAAAGTAACGCACAGAGGAACCATACTTCCGTGAGAATCGCTGTCATTTGGTAAGAAAACTGATTCCCATGTATAACCCAGTTATAGCCGAACAATTACCAACGGGAACGCCCGTGGGGATCATCGTACTATAATTCAGCAGGTCAGCTATCCGCGTTTTAGCGGACGCCATGGGCGGGCGAACAAAGATAAAAATACCACTTTTGAGATAACATATCTGAATGCTCCGGCAGCTACACGGCAGAATCGTTCATTCCTCATTCCTATGAAAAATGGGACTCCAAGTTCAGTTTGAGTACCACCCACTTCAAGCAGAGTTTAAGTGGTGCCTCGTAGCGTACTTTGTCATATTAACAATATCTTCTAACCATGTCGTTGTCATTAGAACTCAAGCCACATCAGCATGAGCCTCCTTTCAAACTTTAACATCAATGTTAGCGTCCTAATAAACATCCTGTCGCGTGCCGTTTCTGACCTTGACATTTATATTTTCCTTGGCTGATGTCTCGAAGAACTCGAGGCCGAGCTGATCAGCCAGCTGTTTGCCGCGCTCGTAGCTGATGACCCGTTCGTCCTCCATGTCGCACTTGTTGCCTACTAGGATCACCTGAGCGTTATCCCACGAATATGTCTTGATCTGGGTACACCTGGGCAGAAAAGGTGAGCACGGGTCACACACACACACACACACACACACACACACACACACACACACACACACACACACACACACACACACACACACACACACACACACACACACACACACACACACACACACACACACACACACACACACACACACACACACACACACACACGCACACACACACACACACACGCACACACACACACACACACACACACACACACACACACACACACACACACACACATACACACACACACACACACACACACACACACACACACGACTAATACGAAAGAAGCGGTTCATCACCAGAACCTTTAAATGCACTGCAAGCATGTTTGAGAATGCTGGGCAAAGAGGGTTGAGAAAGTTGAACCCCTGTGGGACTCCGAAGAACAACGTTGGACCTTCGGCATGTAATAGATGTTTCGCTTTTAAGAAAATCATGAAACGTCTCCCATCCCAAATGAAGGTGTCCAGCGATGGCTGAAAGTACGGAAATACGAGATCAACTGGACCAATTTACTGTATTAATCCATTCGCCCACTAAAATCCAGATGCTTTATGCTTCGGGACACAACGGTTCCGTTCCTGAACTGCTCAATAGATGGCGGTGAGAAAACACCTGTCTCGTACATGCAAACTGTGCCGCATTACACAGCCTTCCGACTGGCGGTGGCAGGAACTTCGGACAACCGTACAGTACGGGAGGCTTACCCTCTTTATTAGAGCCATGCCCGGTATTTGCAAGAAACACCATATTATACCACTCTATGTTACGTTTTATTTTGTATTTAATTTGAAACTTGTCGATATTATCTCACTTGTGAAAGCCATTGTACAAACGCAGCCTTTTTAAGCATGTTGCAGCACTTACCAAGCAAAAGGGTGTCCAATTATCCCATACTATTTCAAGTACACTCAGCGAAAGACCTTGAATAGCAATTTTGTAACTTGGTTACTAAATTCTACCACATAATCAAACATCTTACTTCATTTTTAATGTCACGAGATGAACGCCTGCCAAAGCCATCCAGTGCACATGAATGCACCTTGATGCGTGTTTTCGTTTTATCGTTGAACGTCTCAAGACGTTTGAGCAATGCCGTGCTCAATATGGAGCGCAGGTGATCAGCTGAGTAGGTATATAGCCTACTCAATACAGAGCGCAGGTGATCAGCTGGGTAGGTATATAGCCTACTCAATATAGAGCGCAGGTGATCAGCTGAATAGGTATATAGTCTGCTCAATGTAGAGCGCATGTGATCAGCTGAGTAGGTATATAGTCCGCCATCGCCAGCAGCCAATTTTCAACAGCATTTGTCGCTGTGAATGCCTTGAGAAGTTAATCTAAGCTAAAGCCAACAACGATATGGCATTAATGCAAAGGAAGATGGGGTTTGACAAGATTGTGTATGTACCTACAACGGTTTTACTTCAACTCTCTTGGGCAAGTGCACCGTGGTGTAGCTAAGAAAGTGGCTGGTTGTTGAGCTCCCCCCCTCCCCCCCGTTGGCGGTGGGGTCCTCAGCGGCCAAAGACACAGTACTTTTCGTCGTCAAGGTCTCCCTAGGATTTGGAAATATAAGATATGGCCTCCGGGGTATGAGAAAGGGATTTACCTAAAAATATTCCAAGAATAAAAAACAGGGCTTCTAAGCGAGTGCAGAGGGCCTCTCCTTTGGCCGGAAGTGCCCTCTATGACCCGATCTCGCTCCCTCGTGGGTGAATCACCGACTACGACACTGGACGTAAAGCGCGCGTGTCTGGCAGTTAGACGCCTAAGCTGTGAGGCGAACGCGAATTACAGTCACATGTCAGAGAGCTGTCATGGCCCTCTCAGAGGTCTGGTCGCGGGGCGAAGCGTCACCGCACGGGACCGGCACAGGGGGCAACATTGTGCCGCGGACGCGTGTGGTGGCGAGTCACCCCACATCTCTAATATGGAGTATGGGAACATTCCGTCAGAGCGCCGATCTACGCTGTTGACACGCATGGGGGGAGGGGGGGCACGCGATCAGATGGCCCAAGGAATGTCGCTGACACGCGAAGACGCGTTTATGTTACCCGAGGCAAATGGCGGCTAATCATCCTGATCGCAAAACAATATTCGACGCCGAGCTCAAATGATTTGTCAAGTCTGATGCGGATACCATGGAAATAATTATACGTTTTTACGCGACATGGTGATGAGCAATTTGATCGAACGAGCCATTCGCCGCATTACGCGAGGCAATATGAAATATGGATCTTCACTTATAGACGCACACATGAGATTGCATAAAATGAATAATGCATGTGAACGTGCAGAAAGCCAAACTACACAATACTGCCCGCCTCCGCTTTCTCCATCCAACCTCCTCTTCCCGTCGAGTTCTCGATGACGTCACCAGCAAGGTCGTCCGGCCGGGCAGCCCCGCCGCCGCCACTCACCAGTCCTGCACGCTATTGAAAGACTCCTCATTCGTGATGTCGTACATCAAGATGAAGCCCATGGCGCCTCGGTAGTATGCCGTGGTGATGGTCCGGTACCTCTCCTGACCGGCCGTGTCCTGTGGAGCGAGCCGTGGGATTGAACACGCCGTCAACGGCGCCATAGCTTATTATTTTTTTTGTTGTATTGATGTTGGCATCGTCGTTTAAAGCTAACGAGACGAGACCTTGACAAACGAAGTCGAGGTGAAGGGTTTGGGAATACCATCTCCAGCATTTTGGGTGGCACTGCTGCCGTTGACGTGGCGAATGGACCAATATCATTCGCATACGTGAAGTAGGAGCCATCTATTATTAAGGCGGTGGTACGAATGACTAGGGTTGCTGTTGTGAGTGAGTGTGCCGTTACATAATACAAGTCATATAGCCAAGTGTCGCGTACAAGACTGGATTTTTACTGACATACAGAAAGCGTAAGGTAGGTTTTATGACTGTAACTAACATGTGTCAGTCAACTTGATCTCGGGCCTTTTTGGCCTGGGCCGCTGTAATTGACAGACAATGCTTTTATCGCCCCAGACCGTCTCAGCCAACAGCACAGTGCTACACACGTTTTCCTCGCACCTGAACACCATTCGCCACTGCATCCCCTAGCATCTTCTCCGAGCGCACCCCTATCGTGTGCGGTGGGCCCGCACACGGAGCGGCTGAGCACATGGGCGGGGTTCTCGGGGCGCACCGCCCCCGCACGGCCGGCCGGCGGCCATCAGTCAGCGTCGGTGACTTCCGGAGGTGCAGTCCGGGCTGGCGGCTGACAGCGGCGTCCGGACCGGCCGCGGCGCCGACGGCCGGCCGACCAACGGTGCGACACAGGGTCATCGATCGCACTGCACCGCCCCCCCCCCGCCCAACCCCCACACCCTCTGCTTCACCGGCACAGGACGGAGGCGGTGCGCACGGATACCGAGGGGGACGGTAACTGGACAATGTACGGCAATGAGATGGTGGCAGTGGTAGATGCCCGGTGTGGGGAAATGACTTGTTTAGAGGCGGGGATGTTCAGACAGGCTTGTTCGTTTTCCTATTCAGTTTTTTTTTGGCTCCAGCTATGCTCTCCCGACTTGGGTTTCAGCGCCCCTCCCACAACTTTTAGCAGAAAGTGGGTGAAATCCGGAGAGAAACACGTTTGTTGTCAAATTTTGTGTGTAGGTTGCGTCATTTTTCACTGCTCAACTCACACTACACGCACTCATTTTACGAAACTACGGCCCTGTTATGAGGAACGTTTTTCAAAGAGCGCGTGCAATTTCAAGAGGACTGTGGGGCACTGGTAAGGGGATGCACGACGTGGTGTGACTTCATTATCAATCTCTCGTGTTCTGACGCCTTGCCAAGGTGTCGCTCTCAGTATCGCAGAGTGTAGGGACGCGAGCACGCCCGGTTCCCCAGCCATTGGCGGCGAGTAAGAAAATACAAAACAATAACGGAAAATGCATCCAAGTTTTGCAAACAGAAAGAACAGTACGTTGATTTGTTAAAAGGAACAGCAATTAATAGAGGATACTTTTGGCCAGGACACAAAGCTCAGAACTAAATTGTCGGTTTGTGTGAGGTTGTTTTGATTCTGCTCCTCTAGCTTTGATGAGTCAGTATTTACTGGTCGCTTTGCAGACGATGTAGTTTGTCAACTAGTGCGGAAAATGTGTGTCCCCACCGGCACGTGGGCCCGGACTTTTGAATGCTGGTCCAGTACGTCAACCATTACACCACAGATGCCCAGTCAATCCGCGGCATTTCTTAACTGCTTTTGATGTTATTCATGTCGCCGACTGGTGAGTATGCCCGGGGGAAAAGACCCATCTTTTTCGCACATATATATATATATATATATATATATATATATATATATATATATATGTAATATACAAATATATGTAATGTACAAACTCTCACGCAAACTAACTTTTCCTAGATAGAAGAAACATTTGAACAAAAGTATGTATTGTGGTGTTGTGAAAATACAAATATTGAAACTACTCATTTGTAAAACGAAGCCTCACTTCACTCGACAACATACATTTTGGCTCACTAACCTAGCAAAGTGTTTTGGTGCAATGTTTGTTCATCATTCACACTGTAGAACATGTGTGGTTTTAAAGCAATGGCACAGGCAAAGATCATAATCACACGACCTCCATGGACACCTAAATTAATGCAAAAAATCCCACGGTCCTGACCAGAGCCCAAGTGTGTCTGGCGGCGGCGTGCCTGAGCTGGCGCCCGGCCGGCGGTGAGCTGCAGGTGCCGGCCGCGTGACGCACTCGTTACAGGTGTGTCGGCGGGTGATGGGTGTCGGGTGCGCCGCTCAGGTGTGCAGCCGGTAAACGCCGCCATCGGGGCCGCACGTGCGCTCGGCTGGGGGGCGGGCCAGTGGCCATGGCTCGGCGACGATCGCGAGAGGAGGCTGCCGGACTGGGATACGCTGACGGACGGTACTGGACGGTGCTTACCCACTGTAGCCGGGCAGAGAATGTCCGAGAGAATACAAAACAGAAAGTATATTTTACGTGATTATATGCATTTTTCCAGACACCACAGTCGGTCGTCCGGTAGAATGGCCGTTTGAAATGATGTTACATATAATATAAAAATGGTTGGATAGCAACCATACGTGAGGCCACATGCCTGCGTTCTCGGAATCCCCACGAAGCCCTATGGACTTGGTGACGGCCTTCGCATGGTATTGTCCGCGACAGGGCTATGGTGACGCGCTGACCGACGTCGTCACGACGTCCTGACTGACTGACCGACGTCGTCACGACGTCCCGCTCGAAGCTTAACAATCGGCATTTTTTATGGAAACTTGCATGGCATTCGGGCTTCACAGTCGAGAAAACCTTGATTGGAACATGAACTTTAAACTCTTGATATGGCGTGATGGCTAGAAGATGAGGCTGGCCTGCTTGCCTTGAAAATAGAAATGGTAATGCGATGGATGGAAGTGCCGCCACTTTGTTCTCAACGACTACAACGCTTATGAGAACGATTAGATTAATCGTATCATCTGTTCATGGAATGTCTTGAAGTGTAACAATAACAACCACTCAATCACGTGATATTTTTACAAGCCTTTGACTTGTACTCCAAAGCTTTAGAAAAAAAGGACGTTGGCAAATTCGGGGGGGGGGGGGGCGCCCGGGCGCTCAGCCATCGTCACTGAAACCGAAAAGCCGAGATCATCTCACTCAGCCAGCACGTTCGTTACAATTTTAGCTGGGTTTACGTAGAACGTGCCACCTACCGGTTGACAAACCTACGTGCATTTGAGCTCGATGCATTTGAGCAACAAGAGAATATTGGGCCCAGAGAATGGAGGGAAATTATTTCAACCATCGGTACACTAGGTAACCACACGCATCACCTTTAGTGTCATGCTAACGTTGTGGCAAATGGTATCTTGTAGATACCTTATGCTTTCCTTATGCTAACTCTGAGCATGTGTTAGGTAATTCTGCAAACGTTTGACAAGCTGCCATATGATGACTGACATCTGGACTGGGACAGAGAAGAATAGATTGTAATGTTCGGCAGACTTTAAAAGTACGGTATGACTACGGTAAGTATAACCCATATTTCCCTCAACAGGGGCAAGCATATACACTGCACAACCGGGACTGGCGGGTGTCGACCGACAGTTGAATGCCAAAACACGATCAACGCCAGCGGTAGTCATCACACACACACACACACACACCACACACACACACACACCACACACACCACACACACACACACACACACACACACACACACACACACACACACACACACACACACACACACACACACACACACACACACACACACACACACACACACACACACACACCACACACACACACACACACACACACGCACACACACACACACACACACACACACACACACCACACACATGAAGTCGTGACAGCAAAACGTACTAAATTAACAAACTAGAAAGTGCTAGTTGCATTTCCATATATAGGGAAATCATGGCAGTGTGCTCGGAAATTTCCCACGGGTTCTCACCCGGACGTGTCAGGCCACGCCATTCTACATAAAACCGTTTTCGCGCCTGGTGTCACCGTCGATGCATGGTGAACAACACATATTTTCGGTGATCACAAGACTCGAATTACTGAGATGTTTGTTTTCTGTGAATTACAGCCAAATCTAAGCGTTTTACAACAAGGCATTTTCACATCGCTTTGCTCTAGTGCATTCCGACGTAACAAATATAAAATTGGAATTGACAAAATATTTGTTGTTTTTATTTTTACATGCGGGACTAAATTAACGTGGCCAAGATTCAAGTAGAAATCAGGGTTTAGTTGCTTGGTTAGGTCAACCTTATCGGCTCCGTCCCCCAACCGATTTAGGAAAGTGACACGCCGTGTAACAGTAGAACAGTTTCTGATGAGCCGAATCACTGTAAAGTCGAGGAGTTGAACATGTTGCACATCACTGATATTGCCATCGGGAAACACCAGCGTCACTGCTTGATGTAGCCGACAGCGTAGTAAGCCGTCAGTATCGTAACACATCTCCTTACCCATATTTGTAGCTTGACCCGCTTGTCCTGCCGAAACACTGTCTTCACTTTGAAGTCGATGCCGACGGTCGACACGAAGGCGGACGTGAAGGAATCGTCGGCGTACCGAAACAAGAACGAAGTCTTTCCCACCGAGGAGTTACCAATGATCAACAGCTTGAACATATAGTCGAAGTTCTGATCTGCCGCGTCCTTCTGCCATCTGGGATCCTGGCCAGCCATCTGCGGAGACAGGTAGAGCGCAAGGTCAGGGTCTGAGAAAGGGGCGCGAGGTCGCGGCAGTGTGCGTTGCCATAATTATATGCACGTATTTGGTTGGAAGGCCAAATGCCACGTGCCGGGGCGTTAATGTTACACATACACACACACACACACACACACACACACACACACACCACACACACACACACACACACACACACACACACACACACACACAACACACACACACACACACACACACACGCACATATATATATATATATATATATATATATATATATACATACATACATACAACTAACAATTGTTGTCTGTATTTCCCAACAATTTGTCACTTTATCGGCGTTAGTCTGCGTGCTTGATTGCATAACTACTTTGCACAAACAGACAAACATGAAGTGTAAGCTATAATCAAGCATTACAAATGTCATCGCGGCTGTAAACATATCCTACGGGGGCTTTCCCACGACTTTGTAAACATATCCTACGTAGCATGAGCCCGACAGAGCAAATGGCACGACAAAGCAAGGGCTTTTGGTGGCAAAGACGCAAAAATGACAGCCATGCTTTACGTAGAGCAGTATGAACAATAGATAACGCTACTTGGATAATCAACATAATAATGTATATAGAGGAAAATAAGAAAATGTTATGCCCATTGTGGAGTGAATAAGTCAAAAAACGTACATGCATTTCAGCTGTGGGTGTTCCTCAGTAAACGCACATAAAGAGAAAACTTGATTCAGATCCAAGATCAGACTCGTTTACAAGCTTGACCTTGCATTTGAACAGTGCTTGCTTCATGTGCATGTGCGGAAGATAGCCCATATCGCGAAGATGGCTGAAATGCATGCACGTTTTTCTGGACCTATTCATTGTATTTTGAGCATAAGGTTGCCCTTATTTGCTGTACATAAAACAGTAGGTACCCTCACTAAGAACGAGCTACATGATATCTACGTAACGGTACCGATTTCCTTTTCTGAAAAGTTCGGGCGTTTTTCGCCGCTCGGTGCAATGTTCGTGAGACGAACTGCGTGAAATGACGTTCTGCAGCGGAAATTTGGTCACCCAATCGAACTAGCATCCCATTTGGCCACGACCAGCTGCGAACAAAACTCGAGATCTTCGATGTCTGGACGAAAAGAGAGCCGATGTACACAAGATGGCCGCAACAATAGCCCGTGGAAGAAAAGCGTCCTTGCCATCTCACGACCTCTCCCCGATGCGACGCGTCAGTACGCTGCGTCCGCGGCGTGTGACGTCACAGGCAGTGCCAGTGCTGCACCGGTGACGTCACACGAGGTCATGGTCGACGACAGATCGCTGCGGCGCTGCCGCCGACCGTCTCTCCGTGGCCGAAAGTACCGCGCACGATCTCATGAGACGCGGTGGGCGGCGGCCGAGTCCACTTGGCCGGCGACGGGGGAGGCCGTCGACACTTGCTGGCTGTCCACCGGGTGGGTGGGTCGGGCGGCGTGCGGCGGCCATCACCTGTCCGTGCGCACCCGCCCAACCCCGGAACCGCGTCGGGTTGACGCGTGTGCTGCGGGTCGCCTTGGGACATGCCGAGTAGGACGGTGATAATTGCGGAATAGCTGGGCGCCCACTCAGGTCACTGTCGCCTATAGGCTAACAAGAGCTGTATGCTTGTCTACCTTTCCACCGAAAAAATGGGTCGCTGCCACACACACCACTTCGATATCGTCAGACTTCCCGCCTGTCCGGGGCGTGCGTTAAACCACTCCTCCAGCCTACGGATCACACGCGCACCTCTGTTGGGCGGGCGAACTGTGTTCGACGCCTCGCCAGGCTGTACCCGGCGATGCGCGGATAACGACCGTAGCATCTGCCGGAAACTGGGCGCTACGATATCGAGGACGCTGAGTTACGGACGGAGCAGTTTGGCAATCCATATCATAGAAACAGCGATAGAAATCAAATCACCTGGCGACCGACTAAAACTGCGTGGCTGAAACGTCATCTCCATAGCAAATGAACAGTGTCATCGCGATGTCAATTTGGACCTTATCGCCGACTGGAATGCAGAGCTTCCCCATTTGGACCTTATCGCCGACTGGAATGCAGAGCTTCCCCATTCTCCCCATGCCTGATCCTACACCTGCACATTGGACAAACCACAGCATTCCAAATGCTCTAATATCTCCGTGAGATTTGCCACCTTGTGGCTTCAGTGACCGTGAACGCCCACGAACGAACATGTTTGGTGACAGTTTCTTGGCAGACAAAGTACGGTCGAGGCCATGAACGTATGGCGAAAGGCCCTGATATAGCGTGTTACCTCCTGCAGGGTGAGGCCGATGGTGAATCGGAAGTATTTTAAACCTGCCATGAACCGCAAGGCTCACGCTGATTAAGCCCCAACGATACGCATATTCCTTTGTATAAGAATGCCCTCCACAAAAGGACGAGTGTTTGAAACGGCAGCAAAATGACACATGAGGCCGCACTATGATGTGACGTTATGCACCCAAAAGCTTCTTTTTTTTGTTCCAAACCCCAAATGTGCCCGGAATATGCAAGCTTGCCCATGCGTGGTCTTACGTCGGTAAATGCCCCGGTTTGCACCGTGAACTATTCATGCTAAAACATCGCTGTTTAAGACGGATGGTCATAGCAAGATTATTGAAAAGGAACATGGTGCAGGTTGGCATCACACGCTGCGCAACTTCATGTTTGTCATCGTTTCCAGGACGATTGCAGTGCACGTGCAGGCGATAGCGATATGGACCCTTCGTCTGATACGCTGAGGATTCTTCGTTGGCATCGTTTAATGGTGAAGATGCCTGGGAATCTCTCTTTTCGGTAAGTAGTGCTCTGTCATCATTCGTCAGCACGGTAGCAGCATGCCCGGATGACCGTGAGGCAATCTCCTGAAGCTGTTTGTTTCGGTTTCGTGAATAATACTGAGCAGAGGGTTTCTAGTAAAACGTGTTGATTACAACGTGTAAGGTTTAAATGATAGCAGTTTTTAATATGAACAGATACGAGTTAGAAAATATATATCATCTAAATATGGCATATATACGCATATACACCGTAACCATGTACGCACATATGCACATATATATATATATATATATATATATATATATATATATATATATATATCCCTCTATCTCCCTCTCTCGTCCCTAGGTACACTTAATAAGTGGGTGAAGCCATTCGTCAGAGCGATATATGGACGTTTTACGCAGGCAGACAAAGGTAGCCTTGCGTCCCGACAACCGTTCCGCGGCATTTCCGCCAGAACCGTTATGGATCCCAGCAGTCGTCCCAGCTGACCTACAAATACTCCCCGGAACGGTCCTGGCTCGCCCGGCTGGCTACGCCTGCCGGGGCCAAAACGCCAGACTCCTACCATTTCGGTGAGTGCGGCGAAGTGTTTGCCGTTACCGGCGCGCGGTGGTAGATAGACCGGGTCCCCCATGACGGGGACGGGAAGACTCCTGGCTCCGGCGCACCGCCCGACGTCAACAAGCCAACCGCACCTCTCACTGCCCGCAGCACGTCCAGCGGCCACGCTATCGTGCCGCCGACCGGCCGCCCTCGACGCCCACGCCTCCACACCGACCGCGCGCGCCGCCCGAGCACGCTGCCCGAGCACGCCGCCCGAGAACGTCACCCGAGCACGCCGCCCGAGCACGCCGCCCGAGAACGTCACCCGAGCACGCCGCCCGAGAACGTCACCCGAGCACGCCGCCCGAGCACGCCGCCGCCACGTCCACGCGCGGCCCGGGCACGGCCGGCGACTGCAGCTGGCGCGGCGCGCCCCTGAGCGCGGCGGCGCCTGCCCGCCGTCTACGGCCGTCTACGGTGGCGGCGGCCATGGCCGGGCGCGGCCAGCGGCCAACAGGCGGCGTCGCGCCATTGATTGCCCCGTGAATAATGCACGGCAGTCGGACGTGCGGACGGGTCCCGGTCACAGACAAATATCTACATGAGCGGCCACTCGCGTGACGCGCGTTCCGAGCCCTTGCACGCCGCGGCCGGCAGAAATAGCGCCCCCGCTGCCGGTCGATGCCACGCGACACCCCCCCCCCCCCCTTCTCCCCCCGCATGACCTGCGGCACTGGGAGCGGGTGCCGAGGTGGGACCGCGCGGGCGGGCCGCGGGGTCACGGTGGCGCGCCGGGCGTAGACTCTGGCGACACATGCAGGCTACTTCGCGCCGTTTGCAAGTTCGGCGACCGGTCGCCCCGCGGGCGGGGTGGAACCCGGCTGCAGGAAAAGCTGCTGCACCTTGCTTGAGGTCAGCACACGAGGACACGTTTGCTGCAAGCATTGGGAAGCGTTGGCGCGGAGGTTAATTCCGCAAAGCGAGCTGTTAGCAGCGCTGGTGCACGGCAATGACGGGGCGATGTGACAACTGCGAGAATTCCAGCAGCCAAGGTGCTGATTATTCCGCCGGCCGTGCGCTGCGTTGTTTCGTGTGCCACATGTGTGATGCTGGCAGGAGCCTGCGCGTGCCAGGGAGTGCAGACCGTGGCGGGATCTTTAAAGATCGTGCACGTGGCGGCAGGCGATCGGTGAGGCAAGCATGCGCATTGCGCAAGATCACCACGCATGACAAGTACCGGGACACCTATGAAATTGGAAACACTACTTTCTGCTTGCTCCAGTCATGTGATGTCGTGCAGTTCTGCAGGTTTGGTCAGCCGGGCTTGAAAGCCTAATTGCCTTGGTTTTAGCCATACCCTAAATTAGGCTTAGTGGGCCACGCTTGTGATCACGGACTGCTCACCGGGCATGTAGTGTAGAGAAGAACACGCACCGGTGAACAGGAACAAATCATAAACGAAATAGAATGCAGAATGAAAATGGCCTCGCCGTCACGCAGGCCCCATCCATCACGGACGACACAATCGAAGCGCTGCTTGCCTGGAAACAGCATGGCCAGGTATTCACTGATGGGAACGGAAAGGAAAACGAAACGCCTGCCACGTAATGACTGCTTGCTTAGCCTTATTCCAGCGCTGTAAATCCATTGATTCACGCCTTCGTGCGACTAGAAGTCGTAAAAAACATCATTCACATCTTTGTTGAAGCTTGTAATGGCCGGATTGCGGCTTAAAACCTTTCATGCTCATTATTCTGTACAATCCTCCACGTTTCACTCGAATTAGGTGCACCCGTATCAAGAGACTAGAATGAATGACACCACGTCACGTTTCTGTAGAAGCGATCTCACTTCTAGGTCAGATGTTTTGTAACATGTGCAAGCTGTTCTAAACTTCTGTCATCCGTCGAACCTAAATGGCATATTCGTCATTGCCTGACATTCTGCGTAGAGCTCACTGGACGAAAATAGCACACACGGTGACCCGGACGACAATAACATGTGACGTCATACCCCGGAGGTGCCGACCCTCTAGCGTTCGCAGCGAGCCGGACGACAAAAGTTCTACATGAGGTCACGGACGATAGGATCGTCGTCGGTCGCCCGGAATAAATTTTGTGCTACTTGGTCACAGCTGGACAGAAGTGCGCCAAAGGTTCATCTGTAAGAAGTTAGTTTTAGAGGACAGGGCTGACAGTAGATAAAGATACTGTGTCTCATAGGCTACAAATAGCGTGATTTGCAGTTTGTGTGGTTAAGGCGCACGTGAGAGAAAAAATGTCAACGTCTCGCGTTTGCGGTTATTGTCGCGAATTAAGAAAATGTGCACAGAAGACGTACCCCGCTGCTCATACGTCCAGCAAAGATTCTACGTGACGTCACGTAAAAAGAATATTCTTGGTGGACCATCAAAACACGCTAGATGTTTATTCACGGTGACTGGAGAGCAGGTGACACTTACCCGGGTACCGGCGCCCCCAGTTTCTGCCGTTCTACCCCCTCCCTCCTGACGCTAACATGACAATCGCATCCTTGGTGTCCCACAAAAGGACCAGGGAAGATGTCGTTTTTCATCAAAAAGGTGGGAACCACCCACTCCAACGTTCGGTTATAGCACAGCGTGCATTGCAGGGTGATCATGCCACACGCACCCGTGCCTCCCAGACTTTTGGAAACGACCGTTTTGATCATATCTTGCAAGGAGATCTACCAATGTGATATAATGTGTGACAACTATGGGTATTCAAAGTATGTTTGCTTATGCGACAGACACAACTGCTACTTTACTCAAATACTACTTTCATGCCTTTGGCTGGGGTTTCAGGCCGTATTTTACATTTCAGAAACCGTTAAGTTGGTAGTTTAACTGACCCAAGCTTACCCCCAAGTTCATGGACGCTTGATTCGCGGCGAGGATCTTGAAAGCAAAACAAAACATGTCGTGGAAACTGATGTTTTTCACTCTGTTTCAGTTGAAATAACTTTAGAGCAAAGGTCAATGCTGGTGATTTGCAAACATGCTCTTATTTTATGGCATGGCTTGCTCGTGCGAGTAGAAGGCTATTTCATTCGCCCGCATGGAGAATGCGCATTGTTGTTCCTGCACAAACAGCTGCAACTGACGATTAAAACCACCATCGACATGACCGCAGCGAATAAAACCTTTGTTACTCGTGCAGGTAAGCTGTGTATGCCACGTGCAAACCATGCAATATTCTTGGCATAGTATGTAGTTTTGGTGCTGGGTCCCGAAACCGTGCGCAATAGAAGCAATCGTGGCAATGGACGGATGCTGCAGTCAATGAAGTATGCAAATAACTTACAATATAATCGCTGTCGGATTCGCTCATCCCTGTTCATCGTCCCGCACTAGTCAAGCATCGAAGAACGGACGGCTTACATGGACAGAACAAGAACGCAGCGGGCTGCGAGTACACATTCGCCGTTGGCGTGCTTTTTCCTTGGTTAGCGCATGTTCGTTCCTTTGCGCTCGGATAGTTCATGGGAAAGGTAGCAGGTGGGGTGGTGCTTCACTCTGCCTGCCTTAAACTGATCGGGTTCACCGATGTGATCAACCATACCTGACCAGTCCTTACACAATTTGGATGCGCCGTATCTCGTTTTGCGTGATGTGGTATTGTTCTGCATGCTGCTTGTTCACTTTTCACGCTGCAAAATCTCTGCTTACTGCTATGATCTCGTAATATTTGCACCGTAGAAGGCCGGCGTCTCTACTATGCACCGGCATAGAGAAAGAGCTCTCGACTGTGGCGTGATGACTTCGTGAAGCGAATACAAGAGCGCCAGAGTGGAAATACGCGCTATATTTTACGCTCGTTAGCATTTAAAAGTAGGCTCGAGCACACGCCCTTATACACGCACAAATTATCGCGGCAGCCAAAACCACGGTGGTATTTTTTAGGAAAACGCCCGATATCTCAAACGGACTCGAGTTGTTTTCCAGAGAGCAATAGTGTGGCGCAGCGAGGTGAAGCGTGCGATTAGACCAGTGTGAGACACTGTAACAGCTCGCGTCACCAACTACTTCCGCATTCCCAGCAGCAGAAACCTACAGTCTCTTATCTGAACAGGATGATGCTGGTTTAGACGCAAGGGTCGCGCAACATATCACGCAGCGCGTGGCCCACAGCATCGATATGCATGTAGTGATGCCTTAATGTATGACCACTCTCCATGTTTGGATTCGGAGGAGAGAGAAGACAAATCTGGCTACGAAACTAGAAAGCAAAATTGGCCGGGGTAGTTTGTGCCAGAGACAGGCTGGCGACTCTGCCAGATCCCCGGTCATTTTAAACACCTGGCACGCCAGATTTAGTGAGCTGACTCAGTAAGTCACTGTGGTTGTTGCCACTGCGATAACACTAACTACTTCATCCGGTACATTCACATTCCGGTTATTTTACATGTGCTGGTGATAATGCTGAACAACTTCATACGCGCACTAAAAGCTCTAAACGGGATGCCGGCAACGGTGTCACGTTTACATGTATGCCCGCACCACTGCACCTTAGTGCAGGGTTCAAACTGCACGGCTGGGGAACCGGAGATGCAGGGTCCTCCCTGCTCTCCGCGGTGCCCTCCCTTCCTGGCAGGGTAGAGCAGGCGACGCGAACGCGGCCTCGGCTGCTAAGTGTTTGAAAGTCTCAATGATAGCAACAACAGCTTGAAGTTTTGAAACAACCCAAGGAGGGAGGAAAATTGAAGTCAAAGCCATGGAAAAAGCCAAAAATTGCATTTTTACCATAGTACAGGAACTTACGAAGGATTGCGCGCATACTTCAGGCATGCGTCCTTTTTTCATACGTACTTTTGTGCTAACACCGCGGCTTACACGCGCCCCACGCGGAGCAATCACACCCAGCTGTTGTCACTTTGAATATCAACCGGATTCAGTTGTTAAGAAATCCCGTTTCGAACTTAGTTCAGGCAGCATTGCACTCACTGGTGCACTCAGCTACCCAAAAACACGCCCCACGAATCGCGATGCGCCGAACCAAGCCAGCCCGTGCAGCGCACGCAAGAGGCGACAGTACTGCCACCTGGCTCATGTACGGCGCAGGTGGCGCTGGCGGCGGCAACGCTGAGGGTCCGCGGCAACACCCGCACT